GCTGTGCATGCTCAATAGCCTTACAATTATTATTATTATTATTATTAATTTTATTGCCATTTATATAGCGTCAACAGATTCCATAGTGCTTTACAATACTAAAAGAGGGGGGAATAACCCTATGGGGAAGAATTAGATTGTCTGAGAACACTAGAGTGTTCCTTTAAATGCATTGTTTACTGAATATTGAATAACCAATGAGAATTTCTTCCCTAAACCATGAATTGTAATGTATCGAGAATGAGAATCACATTCTAAAATTAAGGCCAAAATAGCTGATCTGTAATAAGTCTCAGGGCAGAATCTGTTTTAGCCTGCATGTTTCACTTGTGTGGGTTTATTAAACACAAGTTGTAGTGAATAAAAAAGAGATTGGCAAAATTTAGGCTCAAACAAGCTAGTTGTATCTACAGACACTATTTTTTCAAAATCAGCACTTATCACTTTTTATCTAAATTTTATAATTGAATAATAGTTTTATAATAAGGATCTCAATTCGCTACAGTGTGGTATTCTGTTAGAGTTTAACCAATTTCAGACAAATTAGAATATAAGCCCCTCCTCACTGGTGAATGAAAGAAACCGTCAGACCGCCGTGATTTGCCTGTCCAGCAGCAATGTGCGCAATTTGGCAGCAATTATCTCCCATGCCTCACACTGCGTTAAAATGACACAATCAAGTATTTTAAATAATGCACTATTCGGTGAAATAAAACTTTGTTTTAGAAACATATTAATCTAGAATTTTAGCTCATGTCTGAGCGAGAGGAATAATGAGGGTTTGTTGGCTGGAAAAAGGGGTATTTTGCTTAGCCATTTGGCACTGAGAGGGTAAAATGCTGGCGGGGGTGTAACTGTACACCCCGGGGTCAGTCCTTTCCTGCTGTGTTTTTATAATCTGGGAATTCCTCATGTTAATACCAGATGTCTCCTTTAACTGGGGACTATAGTAAATGCATATTCCAGGGCTGTGCTATTGCCCTGCAATATGTATATTATATACATACAATAAAAACCAAAGAAAGACAATTACTTGCGCACTATCCCAAATCTCTATGCACATTTAAATAACTGGAACATTTTTTTTAGTATCTCTCCAATGGCTATTAAAGTGTAAGCTCATCTGCCACGTTTTTATTGGAGCTGATATGTACTGTAGTTATTGCTGCCGCCCAGGATTAGTGGGAGTTTGAGCGCAGGGTTTATTTTGTATATTATAATTTTCATGCATGCCCAGGCTGTAATTTGGCCTCTGAGCAGATCTGTGACATGAGGGCGTCTACTTGTAAAATATTCCCCAGCTGAATCTCTGTCTTTTATGGGCATTTCAGCAAAGCTGCCTTTATCCAGACTCGTTACTCATATAGGAATGCAGAGCTGTCATTTGCTCGGGCTTTAGTGGCTGACATGGCTTGGGAACTATGCGTCCAACTTTCTTTATGTTTAACTTCGAAAAACATCTGTTGATTGCTGGTGACACCATATTGGGAACCAGCTGTGCGTGCCGGGCGCCGGCTTACAATTAACCAAACTCCACATCTCATCATTACTTTTCCAGCAGAGAATCGAGTTTGAGGTCTCAAGGAAAGTCACTATTTACAGGGTTATTGACGGAAGTGAGAATTCAAGGTGAAATCTCTAACTCAGCCGTGCTTTTCTTTCGGCTACTCTGGCCTTAACTTGGAATTCACTTTGAACTCACCTGGAATTGTCACTTTAGTAATTAACCCTGTTAGATTTGCCCACTCTTGGTGAATTCATTTCGTAGTCCATCACTGGACACAATGACGGTTCAGAAAATGTTATTATTTTTTGGGGCATTTTAATACATTATTTGGGCTTAGCAAAACTCCCGAGCCAGTAACCACGATTTTTGGAATTTTTACCCCCTGCCTATTTATAAATAACACATTCTTATATCTTATAAGTGTAAATGTGATGGAGCTACTAAACTGGGCCCAACGCATCCTGCGGAGCCGCAATGATTGGACACAGCTTGGCAGCACATAGAACCCGCACAGCGTACTGTAAAAATGTCAAAATAAACTTTTAAGCATCACTGACGCAATGCTGCGATGGTGCTGTTTCTGAAGTAGAGCACAACCCCATTAAAGAGGCATTTATAATCACACGCGTTATTACAGTGTGTTAATACAGTGTATACACTGCACTTTAACCCTTGTGGAGAATATAGATACTGGGAATGTGACACCCAATGCTCTCAGCCTGGCTGAAATGATGGGAGTTGTAGCCAATAGCATTTTGAGTGCAGGTACCGCTAACCCCACGTACACCCTAACTCAGTATTTGAAATGAAGTGATGATGATTACAGCTTTCTTCAAACAAAGCTTGGTATCTAAATTGCACTGTTTTTGAAGCGGGAACTTTTAATTTGCTGTAATAATCTGCTTCTAATAAAATTGTATTGTACTAAATTATTCGACAAACTGTGATAAAATGGCTAAACGGGTAACGATTCAACTAAATATTCCCAGAGGAGACCCAGCGCTGGTCACACCATCAGTCACACCCTGTAAAATAGAGCACACTCTCTTTGGCTATCTGAAAGGACTGCGCCAAGATGGTGGCATCACAACGCGAGCCGGTACCAATTATGGGAGTGTTACTGACAGACATGGGAGGGGCTACTCATTAACCACAACCACAGCTTCCTATTAAAATAGCCCCCATGCATTTTACTGTCTCTCTACGTTCCCATATACACCCTACTTGTTTCAAAGCCAGAAATACAGAACAATATTTAAACATATAAACAAATTGACTACCAGTCATTACTAAATATATCTTAGGCGGGACTGTCTCTGTTATAGGGTCCTGTCCCGTCCTCACAACTTTGTTACCTGGTGACCCACTTTTTGGGATATTAGGGAACTGTCCCCAAAAAGCATAGTGCGCGACTATCATTAGATGTGCCCGTTCTACCCTCAGAGCACTGGAACCCTGCAGAAAGCACTGAAACTATGAAATCCACCAATGGTTTGTCCTCAGTGAGCTAGTCCAAGTGACCTACCTTGTCTTGGGATTGACCCCCCTCTTTCAGGCAGGTCCACCCCCTCATACTCCGTCCACCACCAGCGTCTCACCTTATTGGACACTAATGTTGGGGTTATATAACAAATTACAAATTGGACAACATAACAAACAAACATTCAACTATTTTTTTTTAGATTGGGTAT